GCAGCCCAGAAAATGGCCCCAGCCCCTCTGTGTGCCCCACTCGCACTCGGGCTACAAAATGCTTCCAGGTCCTGCTGTGCCTAAAGGCAGGATTAGGATGAGCCACGGGAAAAACCAAGGTCGCCAGCAAAGCCCTTTACCTTGTGTTGGACTTTTGCTTTCAAATTTAAGTTTAAATTGAATTTTACCTGTGCAAAAGGTTCTTGAAAGGGAAAGATTACGTGGGTTCTGCATGCAGACCTCTTCATTCATGCTGTTTCACTAAAGGTATAGGAGAAAAGAGCCCATTTTTATTTGGAAATAGCAGCACTTGAACTGTGGTATGAAGGTTTGAGAGGTAGCAAGAGCAAGTTCCTTTGTCTATAAACTGGCTGTCCAAATCTGTTCCTGTGCGTGCATCTCGTGCATCCCTGTTGAGCTGCGAACAAGCCCAGCACGGTGGCTGGGTTTCTTGGCCGTGGTGTCAAAGCTGAGACTGCGGGGCTCCGGCTGTGCTGGAAGGCAGCTGTCAGTCAGTCGTGTTGCTGAGATAGCTCAGTGATGGGAGCTAGCGGCGAATTTTGCATGTGCCTGCGAAGTGTAGTTGCAGCTGCCTATGGATTGAAAACTAAAATGCTGATAGTGTGTAATCCCCAGGATTTATAATGGCTTTGAGGTGGCAGCAGGAGGGAGAGCTCCTGTTGCTGCTGCATGCCCCCCCTGGCAGCCCAGCGCAGCAGAGGGGCCGGGCAGCCTTTGGCAAGGAAGTCCCTGGATTTCTTGTGCGGAGGAAATCGTTATAAACAGGATGTTTGCTCCAGCCCCATCCCAGGCTGCTCACCGCAGACCCCGCAGCGGGCGCTCAGACACCCCTCACCCAGACCCCAGGCGGGGGGAGGAGGAGGTGTGGGTGCTCCCCCCGGCTCTAATTAGTGTGAAGGAGCCGTTTGCAGGGTGTCAGCATTGGGTCTCATGTCTCTGGTTCACGAGACCACAGGAGGTTTTTTGGGACCGGGTGTGTGAAACCTCTGTTTTGCGGTGCTGCTGCGGCTCTGCAGCGAGCCCTGGGGTGGGTCCCAGGTCTTGCAGGTCGCAGGGGGATTGCTGGGGGTGGCTGAGCGCAGCACAGGCAGCAGCAGCCCAGTGCGGCGTTGAGAGGTGAAGTGCAGCACTGAGATTGGCACTGTCACTAGGGCGATTACTGCTCCAGCTGTGGCTTGGGACAGCCCATATATCAAAGCACATGGAAACAGTCCTAAGCAAAGAGTTAAACTCTCTGCAGCCCTTGGGTAAATCACCAGCCTCCTGGCTGCACAGATGCACAGGCTCTTGTCAACAGTTCTCTTCTAAGATCCTCCCAACTTGTTCCTCATTGTGGCTGGAGCGGCAGGCGGCCCACCCCAGGGTGTCAGCGACCGCCCAACCGTCCCCCTCCCTGCTGCGGGTCTGGGGAGGGTGCCTGCACAGCCTCTGCTCTCCGTGAGCTTCCTGCATCCCCCAGCTCACACACAAAGGCGGCCGTGTGCTGCTGCCACCGGGCCTGCCTTCCTACCTGCTTCAATGGTAAAACGATTTTCAGGCTGGCCCTGCTTCTGGAAGGAAGCGTGCGTGGTGTATGAGCTATGGGGTTGCCAGTTGCATTTATTTAAATCAGGTTTTCTGGGCTGAAACGAGCCCATTAGGTTTTTGGATGTTCAGACTATCTGGCCACACCCGTAATTATTCTTTGGCATCTCTGCCCTTGCTGTGAAAATGCTTTTTTTTAAAGTTTTCCATATTTCCCATATTCCCAGTGCTTGGCTTGCAGCCTGCTGGATCCAGAGTCGTTGTGCTTGGCCCTTCCCCATTTAAAAGCTCAGTGTGTGTGTGTGTAGCGCATTTTGGCTGTGCCAGCCATGCCCCTGGTAGGAAACCTCAGCACAGCATCTGCCTGGGGGGAAATTTCCCATATTCCCAGTGCTTGGCTTGCAGCCTGCTGTGCCTGCATAAACATACATGGTCACGCTGGTTCAGATGGCCTGATTTCCCTAATTTTCTCATTGCTAGACTGCAAACCCAAATGAAACTTTGTGAGACGAAATGCATCCCACATGGATCCAGAGTAGGGTGCGTTGTGCTTGGCCCTTCCCCATTTAAAAGCTCAGTGTGTGTGACCAGAGCGCATTTTGGCTGTGCCAGCCATGCCCCTGGTAGGAAACCTCAGCACAGCATCTGCCTGGGGGGAACACCACATTGGGCTCCCAGGGGCTCTGCTGACCGGGGCAGCTGTGGCTGTCACCCAGCCGGCTGCCCTCTGTCCTGTGTCGTGTGTTGTGTGTGTCCGTCCCCCCCGTCCCGTCCCGTCCCCCCCAAATTAAGATTACGTTTCTCAGTTTGGAGGCTCTGTAAGAGGAGCTATGTGAGATGCCAGGGGACATCATTTAGTTGGGACACCCAAAGAGGCAGAAGCTGTAAAGCTGCTTGCTGAACATTAGCAATGAAAGCACCCAGGTCACCTGGATGGCAAAGGCCATGTTAGCAGCTGATTTGGGCTGGGTTGTTTGAAGTTTTGGGACTGTTTAGATTCAACAGCTGAGCCTGGTAGCACACATGAGCTTCTCACCAGGCCTTCTCTACTGATTGAACGTAAGGGTGGCTGTTGCTTGAACCCGGAGACCCCCCTCTTTGAGCAGCTGAGTTCCCAAGGGGCCTGGATGAGCAGGAGCAGGAAAGGATTGCTCATGTGAGACAAACGAAACCCTGGGCTGTGATTCAGTGATGAGACAGGATCATTTGTAGTGGCAGGCTTTCTGCCAGCCAGAGCAGCGCAAAGATGCGATACTCAGACTTACATGGGATCAGATCTGTGCTGTCCTTCTGCAGCCGCTGCAAACCCTGCCCATGGGCTTGGGTAATGCAGCCAACGGTCCCTCGTTCTTGGCTGGTCTGGGCTAGTGGCAGGTTGGGTGGTCTGGCAGAGGGCAGGTCCCACAGGCAAGATTGTGGTACCATTGTGCAGAGGTGCTGTCACCAGGCTGGCTGCGCCAGCAGAGCCCCGTGCATCCCCTCAGCCTCCCAGAGCGAGGGAAAGCCCTTGCCCTCTCAGCTGGCAGGTTGGCATTGGTGTGGGGTTTGCTTGGGGTTTGCTTCTGGCACATGGGCTCTGAGGAGCACAGGAAGGGCTGGCGTTCACTGGTGGTGTTAGTCTGCTCTGATGAATGTGATGAGGAACATTATAAGAATAATTTGTTGAAATGAGCCTCCTAGAGCTGTGTTTGGGTGATGATGGAGCACAGGGGTCCAGCGGGGATCTCTGTGCCTGGGAAGACCGTGGCAGGAGGCAATTCTTGCCTTTCCATTTGCTGGTGAAGCTGCTGATGCTCTGGTTCAAGGTATGAAGTCGAGCAAGAAAAGGTGTGTTGACACGGCCCATCTGTGTGAGGGCTCTGCTGGCCCACTGGCAGAGGGACCAGCCTGCCAGGCTCCTGCTCAGCTCTGAGTCGGCGCAGATTTGTTCTCCTGGCTTGCGACTGGTTCGAATGTCTTCCCAGTTGCTTCTCTCCATCTGCCTGCTTCAAATGCTTCCTCAGCCCTGGCCTCTGGTTATTCTTCTCCGCTTCCTCCGACGGTGCCTGTGTCACGCTGCCCAACCTGTCTGGGTTTCTTTTCTCAGCATTGTCTCCCTTCCGACTCTTGGACCCAGGCCGATTCTCGCAGAGTAATTCAAGGTTTGCTGCGTCCCAGCACCTGATCCTGCTCCCCTTCTCCTCCAAAACAAAGCAGTTGTGTCTTCCACTGCAGTCCAGGTCAATAATAGGGTTTCCCATGTTCACATGTAAGAACTGCAGGACAAAAGGGTGGAATGTGGCTTGCCTGAAGCTGCAGGATTAGACCATGGGAAAGAGGGAGCTTGAACCTTCTCCCCTCGGCTTCTGGTCCAGTGCTTAGAGCTGCATTGAATAACGTGACCTCCACTTGAAGGGTTTAGAGAGCCGTGCTGGTAAACACTGCCTTCGGTTTGTTCAGTCGTTGTCCTCAAAATAAACTCTGGCATTTCACCTCTCCGGTATGTTGCCCTGTCTCGCCTCGACAAGCAGAAGAGCAGCTTGCCGGGGAGGTGAAGCATTTCTTGTCCCTTGTAACCCCTGGCTGCTTTAAACTTTAATCTATTTATCTGAGCAGCCTCGTCTGCCTCGAAGGTGAGCGGGGAGCTGGGGCTGGCACTGAGCTCCCCCTCCGCCTCGGGAAGGGCTCTGGCTGAGTCTGTGCAGAGGTGAGCGGCAAGAGGACCCCCGTCCCTGAGGTGCTGGGGAAGGGCCCACCCTGTGCGGGGGGCAGAGGGGGCCAGGCAGGCGGGGGTGGGGGACCGGCAGGACTCTGTGCAGGTCCCTGAGAGAAACAGCAACAATCTGGTGAATATACTCAACCTCTTTATTGACATATTTTCCCCTCAAATTGCTCAAAATCAAGAGAGCAATGAACTACTGAGCAATGGGAGAGGGAAAAAAAAAGTTAAAAAAAAATTAAAGACCCAGCGGCCCTCCCCATCTCTCATTTGCCAAAGAAAATGCTGCCTGATTTCTCCCAGCCACGTCAGCTCCCAGCTATGACAGCTATCTCATCCTGTTGGCAAGACCGCTCTCTGGAGCAGCCCTTGCTCCAAAATGCAGTGGGAAAAGATGTAAACAGAGAGGAAGCCGGAGCTGAAGCTGGCTGCTCGGGGAGGGCGTCCAGGTATGGGGTGCGAGGCCAGGTGCGACTGCTGGGGGTGTTGCAGCAATGGGGATGCTCCCTCCCAGAGAGCTGCTGTGGACCGTGTGCAGGATCTGTCCCTGGAGCTTGGGTGATCATTTGTGCTGGGGATGCCTGGGGGCTGTGTCCTGGGAAGCACCGAAGCCTCTGCATCCCCGTATGGGGCAAAGGGGCAGCTTTGCCATGCAGGGAAGCAAAACCCAATGCTTTTGTCTCCTCTTCCGTACCCAGTGGGCTTTGCTCAGTGAGACGTGGACCTGACTTTAATTCCTCTCTCTTTGTTTTCCCAGATCATGATCGAGTTCTGCCCGGGCGGGGCAGTGGATGCCACCATGCTGGGTGAGTGCAGTGCGCAGTGCTGGGCTCTTCTCCGTGCTCGGGGTGATGCCCGCAAGGCGTTTCCAGCCTTCTGGCACGCTTTCAGGGGCAACCTTCAGACAGACGGCAGGCGTGGGTGCCCCAGCTTCTCCAACTACCATTTCTCTCCCATGAGTTTGCCTATTTTCATACCCAGAGCAGAAGGTGTGGCAGCCCTGGGACGTTTCTTGAGCTACTTTTATGTCCTTTTGTGATTTAAATGCTGCTGGGATCAGCAGATCACAAGGCATGGGGTGAAGGGAGAGTCTGGCTGGAGGGGAAAGATGGCTTTAAATATTTATCTGCTGGAGGCACCGGGTGCTTGGGATCCGGTTCCCACAGCTTCCTGGGAAGGGCAGAGGGGCTGAGACATTTAATCTGGGTGCCTGTCATGATCAGTCTCCCAGGATCTCCTTGCTGACTTCTCTGTATGGTATTGGTCATCTGGCAAAGCAGCATGAGCGTCCGAATAAACTGCAATTTGCAGTAATTCCAGGAATCTTCCCATTTTTTACCTCCTCCCTTCTGCAGAGAGCCACTGGGACTGGGGAGTGTGTGGGTGTTCCCCAAAAACGCCCTGGCTGGTGCCACAGCCCCTCTGTACCAGGGCTGTACAGACCCAGGGGAAGTGATGTCCGCTTCACGAGGCGAACATGGTGTTCTGACATCTGCTTGCCTGGAGCCCCTGGACAGAGCTGTGTCTCCACAGGGGTTACTCCCTTTCAGCTCTGATATTTCCAAAGGCCTCGCTTTCTTTTTATTTCCGGGAAAAGTATGGACCCAAACTTGTCATCTTTGATTCAGCCCTAAAACTTAGGCCTCCATTAGGGATCTTCTTTAAAGCGGGTCCAAATCACTGCAAGTAAAAGTACCTTTGCTGAAGTGCTGGAGTAAATGATGCCTTACCCCGGAAAACCTCAGCAGGGGTGCCCTGTCTCTTGGGACACTAAATTCCCCCGGAGCGTTCATAGGGCCGTGGCAGTCAGTCTCTGGAGGATGTGGGAGCTGGAGTGGGAAGGGGGTGCTTAGAAAATCGTAAGTGGCCTGGCTGTAGTGCCGTCACCCCCCGAATGAGGGGCAGGAGGAGCTGGGGGTCAGAGCTCAGGAGTGCTCCTGGCATTAGTAAATTCAGAGTTGCCAGATGTTGCCTGTTCCACCTCCCCATCCCCACCAGCAATTGGCATTTACCTTTGAAATCTCTTGTACAAAACCTGTGGCTTGCAGCACCTCACTTTTGCCAGATGCTCCAGGGAGAACGAAAACCATCACCTTCCCCCAGAGCAAGGGAGATCTCTGTGAGGAAGAGGAGGAGGAACAGAGTGGCTGACCCAGCATCCCTGAGCCTGTGGGTCACCCCCCGAATGAGGGGCAGGAGGAGCTGGGGGTCAGAGCTCAGGTCAGCATCCCTCTGCAGGGTCAGAGCGAAAACCATCACCTTCCCCCAGAGCAAGGGAGATCTCTGTGAGGAAGAGGAGGAGGAACAGAGTGGCTGACCCAGCATCCCTGAGCCTGTGGTTAAGATCCTCACTCTGAAGCAGCATCTGTCCCAGTTGCTGGGGTCCATCTGTCGGCCCCCGTCTTGGCCATGCAGTTTGGGCAGTTGGAGTTGTCTAAGGCTTGGTCTGGTCTACGTGTGCTCTGCTGCGCTGGAGGGGGGGATCTGTGCTGCAAGGGGCTTGCAGAGGGAGAGGGGGAAGCTCAGGCAATGCTAACCATCTGGAGGTTTGATGGTTTGCAGAGCCATTGCCTTGGAAAGCGGTCTTGGACAGTGAAGGTGGCTGGGCAGAGCTCAGCAGGGAGGTTGCGCCAGTGGTCATGTGTCCCCGCAAGCTTCAGAAATAGGGACAGACAGCAGGGTATGAGCTGGTGTGCTGGTACCTGGTGCTACCTGAAAAAACAGCTCAGAGCAGTGGGTAGGGATAACACTGGTATTTTATTGCTTGTTGCTTTGGGAGGTGGCGTGTCCCTCCTGATGTACGGGGGGTACGCTGCATCTCCGCGGCAGGGGTAGCTCCCTTGGGGATGAGAGCATGGGCTGCATACGGAGCTGCTGAGTGTTCACGCCTGTGTTTGACCCTGCTGCTGCCTGCAGCCAAGTTCAGCTCCCTCGTCTCTGCAGCATCGTCCCTTCACCAGGCGAGACGCACCTTGCCTGCAGGCACCCGTTTCCCAAATCGGCAGGGAACGTACAGCTCAGACCCCCCTCACAGGTGTGCCTGACTCCCCCTCCTTGTCCCCTCATCTGCTTTTTCTGGGCCAGTTGGCTCAGCTGTGCATCCCCGGGAGGGAGCTATAAACCAGCAGCTCCAAGCAGGCGGGCATTGCCCTCTGAGTGCTGGCTAAGGGAATAAATTACCTTAACAAGCTGATTTGCATTGGTCTCCTGCTGCTTTGACACATGGACAGTGGTTTTTAAATGGTCTGCTGGGTAGCCCGTGCCTTTCTGCTGCTCAGGTGGAGCATCACTCGAATCCTTGTCCTGTTTAACGGCTCTCTCCCTCCCCACAGAGCTGGACCGGGGCCTGACCGAACCCCAGATTCAAGTGATTTGCCGCCAGATGTTGGAAGCCCTCCATTACCTCCACAGCAAAAAGATCATCCACCGTGACCTGAAGGCGGGCAACGTGCTCCTCACCCAGGATGGGAACATCAAGCTTGGTGAGCTGCCTGGCACAGGAGCACAGCAAGTGCTCGCTTGGCCGAGCTCGTTGGGAGAGCGGCCGTGGGCGATGGTGCTGCTCGGGACAATTTCAGACTATGCTGACAGGCGTGTGCTGCTGGGAGCTGGATTGTAGTGTTCGGCTATGCTTGAGTGTGGTGGGGGATTGAGGGATGCTCTCTGCCTTCTGCCCTGCCTACGGAACCTCAGCTGCTTGTCTGCTGGCTGATGAGCTTAGGCAGGAGAAGGTGGGGGAAAACTTCATGTTGTTTCATGGGAGGCCAAATCTACCATCGAACTGTGTGCTCTGCTTAGCCCCCAGCCAGGCACCAAGATTCCCCGAGCCACAATCGTGCTCAGGCCCTTGATGGACTTTCCTTTCGTGAATTTGTTTAATCCCTCTTTGAACTGGATTTTTATGCTTTTTGGCCTGCTGAGCATCCTGTGCAGGGTGCCAGGTGACAGGGCTGGGAGCTGGAAGAATTCTCCAGAGCAGGTCTGGTGGTGACAGGGCGAGTTTTGCCAAAGGGTTGCTTTGCCACCTCGCTGTGGGCTTGAATTAAATTGGCGTCCACCTACCTGCTGGAGGATGAGAAGGTAGCTTTGTCTGTAGGGTCTGGTCAGAAAGGTGCAGATCCCTTTCTGGACCCTGACAAGGGGTGGCTGGCAGCTGTGGGGTGTTCTTGGGATGATGGAGACCAGCTAGCCTGGGAAGATGGAAACCTTCCTGTGACCATGGGTTCTGCTCTGACGTAAGAAGTGCTCTGCTGGCTTGGGCCAAGGATGACCCACAGACAGGGACACCCTGAGCCTGGGGTGCAGATGGATAACGGCTCCTCCAGAGGTCATCAGGGCCATCTCGGAGAGCAAACTGACCTGGAGCGGACTCGGTACCCTCTGCAGGTCTTACCAGTTCGGGTTGGGTTGGCTTCAGCAGCTCTGTATAGAAGGAACAAAATGGGGGAGAGGCATCATGCAGTGGCTCGCTGTGCATGGGCCTGAAGGGAAGAGAAAGAATGCAATAGCACTTTGGTTTTTCTGGTGTAAAATGAGACTTTTTGCTATGAAATAGCAGTCCTGAAATTAATCTGCCATGGAGCTGCTTTTGTTTGTGGAAAAGATCTCGACTTCCCTCTAGATGTGTAGGGTTTGGGTTACAGTAGGGCTGGCTTGTTATGCCCCTGTCTTACAGTACATGGGAGGGGAGGTCCCTGGTGGTTGCGTACCCAAAAGCAAATTTAATTTCTGATGCTCAGTTTAGAGGAAACAGCACGTTGTATCATGTTCTTGCCTTCAATGTGTGTTTGCTTTTAAATCTGCATTTCAGCCAAGTGTGCTAATTCAGAAGGGTCATTCAGTTTTCCTACGGCATCTAATGTTACTGCTCTTTGCAGCTGACTTTGGAGTGTCTGCCAAAAACATGAAAACCTTGCAGAAGCGAGACTCCTTCATTGGGACCCCTTACTGGTGAGTGACCCGCTTGCTAAGAAATCCCATGTTCGTGAGGAGCTTCGCTCTTCTGAAAAATCAGGCTTGCTCAGAAATGGGGAGCTGATGGCCTTTGGGATATGTTGGACCATAGTGCCTTACCGAGCATGGGTGGGAGGATTTTGACAAGGAGTCTTGGCCAGTGTCCGCATGTGCAAGGGTTTCCCTTGCCTGAAGGGAGCTGTGAGCAGCCTCGGTGGTGCGGGAGCATTGCCCGGTGTCACAGCGCCCTGAGCTGGCCGAGGGACCACCATGCTCCAGGCTTGGAGGAGCAAGAGACACACATGTGCTCGCGTGTGTGTGCTCACTGCTCCCCCTACCCCAGGGGTGGAGTGGGCTTTGAAGCAGCTCCAAGCACATGGGAACGACTACTCGCTCCAGAAATGCAATCTCTAAATCACCCGACTTGCTGAAGGAAGGGAATCGGCGAGGATTAATTTATTGTCTGAAGCAACATCCGTGCCAGATGTCAGTGGCCTGGGGGTTTCCATGGGCTGCCTGGGCTGTCTCGGTTAGTCTACGGAAGAGGGGAGGGGGTTGGACCCCTTAGAAAAGATGCTGCTTCTTCCGAAACCCAGAGCTGGGAGGAAAGGCCATTTTTTGTGCAATGTTGTGGATTATTTAAAGCATTTAATCACTGCTGCAAGGCTCACGTGCACAGCAGCGGTGTCATCCCTCCCCATCCCTGCTCCTTGCTCTGCCTCTTGCAGGATGGCCCCGGAGGTGGTGATGTGTGAGACCATGAAGGACACTCCGTACGACTACAAGGCGGACATCTGGTCCCTGGGAATCACGCTGATCGAAATGGCCCAGATCGAGCCACCCCATCACGAGCTCAACCCCATGAGAGTCCTGCTGAAGATTGCCAAGTCCGACCCCCCCACGCTCAGCTGCCCTTCCAAATGGTGAGGGCTTTTGGGCAGCAGAGTATGCGTCTCCCAACTTATGCAGTATTTCAAGAGAGAAGAAATAGTCTTTTATAGCAGTATTGTTTAATTTGAGAACCTAATGTAGGATTCTAGCTGTACTCTAGGTCCAGCTGTGTGCTAGGGGCCCTGAGAGCACTGCTGGCTGAAAGCAGGCTGCTCAGCGCTGCCTGTGCTGTGACCGTGCTGCCCTTGTGCAGGCAGCATGGGGGGAGCTGCTGCCTACCCGCAGCCCTGCTGAAGCGAGGGTGATCCCATGGCTGTTTTCAAAACATCCTAGTTTTGTATGAAAGGCAGATTTTCCTTTAAACCTGGAGATGGCCAAGAGCTCTAGAATTTCTTTCATAGAGTCTGGAAAGCCTCTTCTGCACTTAAAAAAAATCCAATCAGTTAATTTTTTTTTAATCGTGACAAAACCCATTGCATGATAGCCAGCAGCTTATTATTGTGAGAGCACTGGAGTCACAGGCGTTGTTACAGCAGTTCAGGTAGCAGGCAGGAGCCTGCCGCTAAAACCCAGCAGGCAGGGTGGGAGCGCTTCCTCTGGAGCAGCTCGGAAGCCAGAATTGGATCGGGGACACGCTCTGCATCTCAGAGCTGCGCTTTGCAGGCTGAGGGTGCCCTCCTATGGGGTTCCTGGTCCTTCACAGCCATCCTTTCACACTGCAGCTGTGGGGATGGGTCCTGGAGCACCCGTGTCCACAAGCAGCTCCACCCATCGGCACCCTTTGGAGGATAACTGCTGGTGTCCTCTCCTATCTCTCTGCCTTGACCCTGGGGCACAGTGGCTGGCGCTCAGTCCTGCTGTCTGTTGCCATCACAGGTAAGGCAAAATCTAGTCCCTCATTTGGCCACGTTGCTGATTCTGTTACAAATAATCGGAATAACTGAGCACAGGGTTTCCCATGCTGGGAGTGAAACAGTGATTGTGGCCAGGTGCCAACTGGGACACAACCTGCAAAGGGATCAAGCAGACCCCTGTGGTGTTTGAGGCCTTTCCCTCTTCTGAGCTTCTTGCCAATGACTGTGTTTTAAGGTCCCTGGAGTTCAGAGACTTCCTGAAGACGGCGCTGGACAAGAACCCGGAGACCCGGCCCAGTGCTGCCCAGCTGCTGGAGGTAGGGACCGGCACCGGCCCCTGGCCTGGTGTTGCGTCTGCCTGGGTCTGCGAGTGTCTGAACCACTGTGTCTGGACAGCCTGATTCCCTTTAAGGAAGGAAACAAAAAAAGTGTTGATGGGTCCTAGACTGATTTCAGATTATTTTTCCCTTGTTTAGAAAGTTCATAGTACTTTTCAGCCACTAAAATGCTCCAAAAAGCAACAGCAATGTTTTTCCCTTTGGAGCAAACTGCAGAGCCCCTATGGACACTATCTGGAATAGAAATGGCTCCCATTGCCTAAAAATGCTCACAAGGCAGCCAGCTTGGATTATACCTGGTTATCCCAGATTTAAATTCAACTCCTTTCCTTTCCTCCTGTCCCCTTCCAAAATAATAGCAAAAATCTGGAAGATGCTTTTTCCCCACTGTCTGCAAAAGCTCTCACTCTGCAGCGCTGGCACGCTGGCTGCGCGCTTCCCATCCCACACTGGAGTCAGCAGAAGGAAGCGTGCAATGTGCTCTGCAAACCCGAGGGACTCCCCAGCCTTTTGCTGAAGCTCAACACAACACCCCACTGTGTGCACTGAGCGATTCGAGCCTGATTTCAATTAAACCTTCCCCCATGCTCTGTTTGCACCCAGGGATCCTGCAGACAAGCTCTTGCCCCACTGCCAGTGGCACCTCATGGGCTTGGACCTGCACCCCAGAGCTCAGCCCACCCATGGTGAGGTGGGGATGTCTCCTCTACAGCGAGAGCCCCTTCTTTAAATGCAGCTGGTGCTCTTGTTTGGGGCATGTTGACATAAAGCAGCTTTGCAGAGCACCATGCTTTGAGCATCTGTGTGCAGAGCTGGCGATTAGCCTCGGCATCATGTTCTCTCTTGTTCTTTCTCATACGTGCAGCACGTATCTGTAAATTCATTTGGGGGTTTAAGCCTGGTGACACTGGCAAGAACCACATCCTTAGGTCTTTGCAGTTGTTTAAAAGCAAGAAGTGGTCCTCGCTGTTGCCGTCACCGTGTGGTCACTCAGCCACGAGGTCTGGATTTGGCCACCTCACGTGTGTGCATTGTGCTTGGCTTTTCAGCATCCCTTTGTCAGCAAGGTGACTAGCAACCGGGCTCTGCGCGAGCTGGTGGCCGAGGCCAAGGCTGAGGTGATGGAAGAGATCGAGGACAGTCGGGACGAAGTGGAAGAAGACGACTCATTGGAGTCTGCCTCGGTGAGCACTCCTGGCCCCGTGCTGGCAAGTTTGCTGGTGCGGCTGTGGTGGGGGAAAGAGCCCAGCAACTTTTCTTGGCTCCAAAAGGCTGGTTCATGGCTATTCTGGGCCCCATCAGGTGGAGTGGGAAGTGGTTGCTTGGGTAGCGAGGGCCTGTTTCTCCATGCCCTTGGCAGCCACCGAAAAACAATGACGCTGGCGGGTGGCCCAGCTGCCTGCTCGCAGGAGGGGCTTGCAAAAAGTTTGGGGTTTTTTTTTGGGGGGGGGAAGGAAAAAAAAAAAGTGAAAAATAGGCCCTGGTACAGGCTGGAGAAGCTGGAGTGGAAGCAATGCCAGCAGCATGTGGCGCAGCAGTGAGGCACCACCAGCCCTAGGAGGGAGCTGGGCAAACCTGCCCCTAAGCTGGGCTCTTTGAAGGGGACAGCACGGGACTGCCTGGGCAGCTTTGCTGCGGGAGATGCCTCAGCCTCCCTCATCTGTGGCAAAGGATGGTGATTAATCCACAGTGGAGTTAGCCACGGGAAAAGGGGTTCAATATGCAAACTCCTAGGCTGTCTCTTAAGAATTTGCAGGTCCTGGAGCTGTTTCCTTCCAGTCAGTGTCCACAGCCCTTGGGACCACGTACCTGGAGGAAGATAGAAGTATCCCAGGACAGATGTCCTAAAAGGGAAGATTTCCTCCCAATAACTCTTTAGCTGTGGGTGACTTTGCTCTGAAGTGTGGGGCCTCGCAGCTCTTGCAGTTATGTTAAAGCAGTGGTGCAAAACCCAACGCCTTCCCTTCACTGTCTTTCCAGCCCCCTGGTAAGCACAAGCGGGACCCCTCTGAGGCGAGTCAGCTGAGTTTTGATGGGGAGAAGCCTCCAGACTCTTCCTTGCCCAAGGCAGTGAATGGGCCTGTGGGGACTGGCAAGGAGACCACAGATGGACAAAGTGATCAAGTCTCAGATGAAGGGATAAGCAGTGACAATGACAAAGTGGAGAGCAACGACTCCACAAAACCCCTTGCCAGCTCTGCCTCCTCTGGCTCAGAGGATGGGAGAGCCACCTTGGGCACGCAGGGCAAGCCAGACATCATCTCGCAGCCTGGAAGGCTGGGTAACTCAACTGAGGGGGACAAGCAGCCTCAGCCAGGCAGCAAGGAGAGGAAGAGCATTGGGGAGCGACCGGAGAGCAGCCACCTGGAGAACTTCACAGAGGAGAAGCTTGCCAACGGAAGCTTGGATCCCCCGGTGCTGTTCCCCGGCAGCCGGTCCAAAGGGGATTCGGATTCTGGCAGCACTTCAGCCTCTGAAAGCATGGACCTCACCATCTCCCTGTCTGCCGACCTGTCCCTCAACAGAGAGAGCGGCTCCATCTCCCTGAAGGTGAGAGTAGCGGGCAGAGGGTGTGGAGAAGGAAGGGCAGCAAACCCCTGTTAAAAAGTGCTGAGGTTTTTTCCTTTTTTAGCCAAGCCCCTGAAATTCAGATCCTCTCCTTGAGAGGCTGTGCACGTGCACGCATTGGCCATAGCCCCTTAAACTTCTTCCTGAGAAAGCAGCACGCTGTACTCTGGATGGGGTTAATCTTTGACTACAGGAGGAGAAAGTGAGTTGACCCTAGTCTGCCCTGTGCCTGAACATGGGGAGCAGGTAAAGTAGGAGAGGACAGAGGCTGGATGAAGACAGAGGGTCCGGGAATCTTGCTTTAGCATGATGCTAAAGACCATCCAGGTGCCACCTCAGTGCTATTTGGTGAGATAGCTGGAAAGGCTGGCCGTTGCACTTGCAATGTGAGCATCCAGGCTTGGAGCTCTGCAAATAAACACAGGACCAGCAATGAGGGAGGAAGCCCATCTCCAGGCAAAGCCTTCGATGGTTTGTTTTCCCTGTCTATGGGATGCCTGTCCTAGCTGGGCTCAGGGTGGCACAGCACATGGTGCTGGGTTAAGCTGTGCCATGGGCATGTGGCATGTCCTCAAGTGAAGGAGAAGCTCTTGGTGGAGCTGCTGCAGGTACATGTGTCCTTTGTTGTCCCAGGCCACTGAAATCTAATGGAAGTCCAATGTTTTGTAGCTATTTTGGGTCCCTGAGAAGTGTGAAGTAACCGTGCCACTCGCCTGACTTGTGCAGTCATACGCAGTCAGAGCAAGGACAAGTATGAAACCCAAAATGTGATTTCCTAAACTTTATCCATTGCCCATCACTCTGCTGCTCTTTCCTAGAACACCTAGCCTAAGGAGAAAGCTTATTTGTGCTGGTGCCTCTCTTAATTTTTCCAACCTGCCATACATCTGGCCTGGTTTGTGTCAGCAGTGACTTGCATGAAGACCTCCCAGGCTTCTTGGCTTTTGTTAAGGCTCTCTGGAGGCTGGGAATGCTTGTGAGCCAGAGCCAGCCAGGTCAGCATGGCTTAGAGGAAGAGGCAAAATAACTGGAATGATATTTGCTGAGCTTCAGAAGAAGAAATGTGACTTGAGGGGGCAGAGTGATGTGTTGCACAAGATCTTTATCCAATTGCCTTCATGAGTGATAGCTTCCTGGCACAGAAATGTGCCCGAAAACCATTCTCGGCAAAACTTTCCTCCCCTCCTGTCTCCTGCTGTGAGCATGAGAGCCAGCATCCCCCGCAGGAGCCCACAATCAATGTGGATCCCTAATGAGGGAAGTGTGTTGCTCTTGCATAGCAATTTATTCCTCCTCACTGCCTTTCCCATGACACCTGGTCTCCTTGAGACCAGCCAAAGATTCATATGATGCCACTCATGTAATTGCTCTCCCCAGTTGGTAGCCTAGAAGGGGAAAGGAGCTTTTCGGGTTTTAAAGGGAGTAAGTCTCAAAGAGATGGTCATGTTAGATCACAGTTTGAATTGCCCCAGCCAGAAGCAATGCTCAGAGCAAACTAAATGGCATCTCTCCGAGCAAGGCGTTCAAGCAGAGCTGTTCTCCAGGAGTAATGCTGCGGGAGGGCCCTGGGAAAGATGCCCTGCTGACGCCTCTGCTTTGCACAATGAGCTGGGAGTGTGTATGTGGGGGTACCAGGCTGCATTGCTCCCGCCTCACCCAGACTCCTTGCCCAGCCTTAGTTTCATGGGGTTAAAGTCCCTGGCTCTGCCCTTGCTTGTGTTCCTGGTGCTGCTGGATTGCATGCAGAGGGTGCCAGGCAGGTTGCAGCAAGAGAAGGGGCAGCAAAGAGTTAAACCATTTCTGGTTGTAAACATTAACTATTACATGATTTTTATCACAGGCTAAACTGCAAAGTTAAGGTGACTCTTTTATTACCAGACTCTTTGTCCAGTTGCTTATAGTTTAGTCCAAAACCAAAAAAGTTTTGGCAAAAAGTATCCAGGTCTTTGTTTCTTTTTCTAGAAAGATTAGGGATAAGAAATCTACAGGTGGGTTTGGGACTTTCTCTGGCTTCCCCATTGCAGCAAGCTCTCCAGGGGCTTGCTTTGGGCTTTGCAGGCTCATGTGAAGCTCTTCTGCCATCTTTTATATCTGTAATGGTCATCACAGTAAGACGAAGAAGACTTCAGGGAGCCTTTGCTCATTCTACCACGGTGCTTTCCCTGTAGGACTGCATGATTCAAGTTGTTCATATCTTCCCCCCCCCCAAAGAAACTAAGTCCCTGGACGCAGCCCTTCAGCCAGGCTTGGGCTGCTGACCCTGCAGAGGGATGCTGACCTGCTGTGGCACTGCTGGGAGAGGACGTGTTGCTCCTGGCACTTGTCCCTACCTGTGCTAATGAAAGTGAGCCTGGGCTGTGCTTTGTGGAGGTCACTGTAAGGGGCTCAGAGCTGGCTGTGATTGGCTAAGTATTGTAATGAGGGCCAGAGGGAGACAAGCACTGAGCCTTTGGGCAGGACTGGCTTGTTTCCCCATGGCTCCATCTGCAATCGCAGCCTGATGTGGGGGCTTTGCCTGCCTCACACCTGCAGGTGCATGGGGGGTACCTGCGGGTCAGGTGGCCCAGCAGGTTTTAAAGGAAACATGGCAAGCTTCATGTTGTGTGGATTCCTCAGCACTGCAGTTCAAGGGGGTTCCAGCATCCCTCATCAAGCTTCGCTTTAGTTGGACATGGAGAGAAAGGGTCTTCAGGTGGTGGGTTGTCTCTCCTCCAGGTCAGGTTTCTGCAGGGTGGAAATCACACTGTCCTGTAGCGTGGTACCAAAGGTTGCGTGGCTTGAATGGCAGCTCCAAATCTGCAGCTGATTTCACACACACACACACCCATGTGGTTTTCTTGCTTATGTTCTTCATTAACAACAGCATCAAAATTGCTCTGAGGCTTCCAACTGTAGCACCCCGTGCAGCAAGCCGGGGAGCTGCTTCATGGCCTCCTCCTTTCCTCCCCTGCCGAACTCAGGATTCCCGAATGCACAAGAAGACGCTGAAACGCACCCGCAAGTTTGTGGTGGATGGAGTAGAGGTGAGCGTCACCACCTCAAAGATCATCAGTGAGGATGAGAAGAAGGATGAAGAGATGAGATTTCTCAGGCAAGTGGGTCACTGGGATGGAGGAGGGCAGAGCACCGAGCCGGAGCAGGGTTTTTTTTCTCCACAAGCAAATCCAGGAGCGGCCTAAAATCCTCTCATTTTCTGTCTTGGTCCCACTTGGACAGGACAATTGTCCAGTGTGGACATCACTTCTTTTAGCCTTTCCCCAGCTAAGAGGGCTTGCTGTACCGCGTAAGCTGAGCTCTGTTTGCATGCAGGGGAACAAGGGATGCATCTCAGGGTTAAGATGCAACAAGGCTGTGACGAGGGAAGCTTGTGCTGTGGCTGGCTCTGTCCTCTGAGGATGACTGAATGTGTCTCCAGGGCTGTAGGTATGCTGGCTCAATGGAAATAAGCACAGAAATCTTCTCAAGATGCTCCTCTTCCTTTTGGTCTTGTATCTCCTCAGACTTCATTAACAGAAAGGCCAAGGGAATTGTAAACTCCTTGCGCATCACTTAATATTCATGGGTGTATCCTCCCTGCTTAAGCCTTTATGACTCCTTTGCGGAACTTATAGCTTTCAAACCTCCATGACCTATTCTCAGGGAGAGAAACTGCTGTTTCTAGCTTCATTACTATCAGTAGCAGCACTGAAATGAAAAGGCCCATAAAATAATTAAAATACAAATTGTTTTGCTTGATGCCCTATTCTAGGCTCCCTTGTGCTGCTCTGAGGAACTCCCCGAGAATGTAATCTGTCCCAAGCGTCACATGTCCCTGTGGCAGCCTCATTCCTAGGCCCTAATATCAGATATGTGCAGAAGCTCATTAGCTACTCAGTTTCATGTGAGAAGTGCCTATAACCCCAATATAACATGGGGAGCACATGTACTAGTGTACAGGCAATTTGCAGCCACAGCTGCTTTCTCCTGGTCCTCTTGGGTGTGGTGACATCCCTGAAAAGAGGCTCCTTTTTAATTTTTAAATAGTGCCTGCTTCACCTGGGAGGTGGGGGAAGGGAGAGAGAGGCTTGGGTTGGAAAGCATCGAGTCCCTGAACACCTTTTGGGAGAAGTGGTTATTCCCTTGGGACTAGCTAGCAGGCACGATCAACTCTCCTGGCATCTTGATTTGTACTTAAGGGGCTTGTTTCTGGCGTTTCGGAACACACCAAGGTATTGATCTGAAGGCTAGCTTAGAAGAGAGCACATCATATTGCACCAGTTGATTTAATGGGGCTTAAGTTTGTTTTGAAAGAAGAAAGCGTTCCAAAGTGCTTTTCCCAGGACGGCCTCCGGAGAGGGTTGTACTTAATGTGTAAGGCTAATGCACAGCAGCAGAGGTCATGGTGGGGACCCTGCGGAGGGAAGCTGCTGCTGCCGGTTCTTTTGCATGGTACATCAGTGATTTCCAGCTTGGTCGGGCACAAACATGGCAACCATCTGAGCAGAGGCTCCCTTTTACTGGGTGTGAAGCTGGATGAGAGGAGTGATGCAATGTTGTGATAGATAAGTCAGAATTTGGGAAAACTGTCCTTTGTGCCACCCAGGCGTGAGCAAGAAGGGATGCGGAGTGCAGGGGCCAGGCCAGTGCCAGCTTGGCCTGAGCTGTTTTGAAGACCAGTGTGTGCTAACCCAGCTGGCAGAAAGGGTATTTTGGGCGCTGACTGGGAGAGCGTTGCCTGCAGCATCGCCTTAGGAGCCTTGACAGGGCTTGTTTGAGAAGCTGTGAAAGCTAATAGGCCTTACTTGTGAAAACCGACAGTTTGCCAACAGTTAACGTAATTAGCATCCCGCTTCCTCACAGCGCGCTGGTGTCACAGAGCCCGAGAGTGCATCAGTCAGTTGGCATTTACATCCTGCCTGTGCTCAGAGCAAGTGGCAGGGTGCTACAGGATGGCTGCGCAGCTTTCATTCCCTGCTGAAATGATCTGGTTATTGATTCTGCCATCTCTGCTCAGGCATGCAGCTCTAAATTTGTCTGACTCTGTGTTTCTTTCTCACCCTCCGTTTTGACCGTCTGCAGGCGCCAGGAACTGCGGGAGCTGCGTCTCCTTCAGAAGGAGGAGCACCGAAACCAGGCCCAGCTCAACAGCAAACACCAGCTGCAGCTGGAGCAGATGTTCAGGCGCTTTGAGCAAGAAATGACGGTACGTGAGCAGGGAAGGGGAAGCTCCTGGTATCTGCTGGTTTGACTTCTCCCCTGCAGATGCCCTGCAAATCCTCGTGCAGGGTGATGCTCTCTGGGTTGCAGCAGTCCTGGGGCATCATATCCAGAGGGAGCAGGACCACCCAGGAACCCCTTTGGGATTTGAGGGATGGGATGTGTTTGTGGAGGACAGAGCCTTTTGTGGGCGTTAAGCACATGCAGCCTGCAGCTTGGGAAGCACTGACTGCCATTGCCTGGCATGGTGTAGCAGGGGAAGGGTTGTCTGGACTTTCCCTCTTCAGTGGTCTTTTCTTGTATGTCTGTTCACAGCTACTGTGAGAAACAGTTTATAGTGCTGTTGTATTTCGAAGAAAAAAGCCTTTTAAATAAGAAAGCAGTGTGGACAGAATGTGAGAGCAGGAAAACTAGCAAGTTTGAGTATAAATTGAATAAAGATAAACTAGGCTTACATACCTAGTCCCTCTGTGGGCAGCTTACGTTGAAGTAAAATAATTTTGTAGGTAAGTCCCTTTAAAGCTTTCGTGAGCCAACTTTTAAATACCCCTTTATTAATTCACCTAATATGTGTGCATGGTAACCCCATCCCCTTGCGGCAGGCTGGGAGCCATCACTTATTTGTGTATTCTGTTATATTTCTAAAGTCTTGACATGCCACGTCTGTGAATTCCCATCTTAGCAAGTCACTTCTCATTTGTGAGATTTATTCACCGTACAGTGCGATGTGCAAAAGCCCCAAACCTGCTGCTTTTGCCCTTTCCCTGGGGCAGTTTGCAACCTGCTCCCATTGATACCCATGTGTTCCATCCCTGCTGCTCGCAGGGAGGGAGAGGTCAGACACAAGGGTGTTGTCAGAGCACAGCGCCCTCAGACTTGGAAATCCTGGTCTGCAGAGAAAGAACTGTTATGCTTGAGCTTCACTGCCTGCTAATATTTGCCCAGGGCTGTGGGTCCCAGTGGGATGCTGTAGATCAGGACGTAAGCAAGGAGAAAGGGTTGAAATGTACTAGAACAAGTTCAAAAATGCTTTAGGCTCACGCTAGAGCTGACTCTGCCCTGTGTGCTTCATGGGGCATTATCTGGAAATTCCTCTGTGTTTAGTAAAGAGGCTCAACTCATGCAAAGACAACCCCCCCTCTATTTTTTTTTTTCTTCTTTTTTTTTTTTCCTTTAAACTTTTGGAAGGAAATGAAGCACAGAGGAGGCTGAGGCTGACCTCTGTTCCTTTCCCATACAGACAAAGAAGAAGTTCTACGACACCGAACTAGAAAACCTCGAACGGCAACAGAAGCAGCAGATTGAGAAGATGGAACAAGATCACTCACTGCGCCGGCGGGAGGAGGCCAAGCGCATTCGCCTGGAGCAGGAGCGGGACCATGTCAAATTCCTGGAGCAGCTGAAGCAGATGAAGAAGGAGGTAAAAATAGGGATAGGATGGAGGAAAGCTGGTTTCCTGCATCTGTTTCTTCTAGGAAAGCTTCAGCATTTCTCCATAGCAGAACTTGAGAGGGAAGCAGTTGTTGGTGTTTTAGCAGGAAGCTCTTGCTTTTCTTTGGTATATTTGGGTGCTTTCTGAGGTCCGTCTGTTTAGTGACATTAGGTGGGGTTGTTCTTGGTCTAAAGTTATCTGCTGATAAATCTCACTTCCCTCCCCAAAGGTCAAGAACGAGGTTGAGAAGCTGCCACGGCAACAGCGCAAAGGGAACATGAAGGTGAAGATGGATGACTTTGCCCAGAAAAAACAAACCATGGTAAGGCTGAGAGAAGACTGCCACAACTCCAGGATTGGGAAACGCATAGTAGACAGAAGCATCCTTCTTCCTTGAGGGATGGGCAGTTTCTAAAATACCACCAGATGCTTTTCAAGTTGCAGCAGAAAGAGGGCTCATGGTGGTACTTGCTGTTTTCTTCCAGGAACAGGAGTTTTTGGCCAAGCAGAAGGAGGACCTGGAGCTAGCCATGAAGAATATAACCACCCAGAACAAAAAAGAGATCTGCGACAAGGAACGCGAGTGCCTGAACAAAAAGCAGCAGCTCATGAGAGGTGGGTGGCAAAGGCTGAAAAGGAGGAAAGCAAATGCTGTAACGCTGGGTTTATCCAACGCTGGCTCTTCCCATGTAACAGATGCTGTGACAGAGTTGCAAGCTGGCAGGATAAGATTTTAGAAAAAACAGCCTTGCCAGATCCCGTCTAAATGTTTAACAATAATACTTAGTGCTTTAATCTTCAAAGTGCTTTACAAATATGATCAAATTAGGCTTCATAATTGCAAGGAATGACTTTCTGATATGGTTTGCAACCCATTTCTCTTGGAAAACAGGAGGTGAACAATCACCCCCCACATCTGCTGTACTGTTCCCGCGTGTAGGGATTGCTTGTGCTTGGGACGCTGTGTGTGATCAAGCTGGGGGGCCAGGCTGGGTTGTCTCCTGACCCTTCTCCCTTCCTCAGACCGGGAGGCATGCATCTGGGATCTTGAAGAGCACCAGCAGCAGGAGAAACACCAGCTTGTCAAGCAGCAGCTAAAGGACCAGTATTTCCTCCAGAGGCATGAGTTGCTCCGGAAGCATGAGAAGGTGAAGAGTTGGCGCCTTCCTACGACGGTGCTGGTCAGCAGGGTGCCTGGGTGTCCCCAGAAGGGATGTTTCCCTTCCAGGCTGTAAGTGGGGGGTGGAGGGTGGGTTAGGAGTTAAGAGATTTGGTCGTTATTAGTGAAAAGGGACCAGAATAACGTCCAGATCAGCCTGCTTGCTTGGGATGTGTATTCTGTGCTGCATGCATTTAACGTACAAGAAGCAGTTGTGGATTTTGGGGGCTTTTCTGGAAATCTGTCACTGTCCAGTATGCGGGATGGTGGATTCCCAGAGCAGCGAGTGAAGACTTGGCACATCTCTCAGTCATTTCTGCTTCCTTCCAGCCCCCTTCTCTGCTTTCACAGCATGTTCAGTAGCTGCCCTCATCTCTTTTTCCCCTTGGAGCTGTCTGTCACCAGCCACCTCCATGCAACTCCCCAAGTCTGCTCTCCAGCTCTCTTTGGTCTGCTCAGCACTTGTTGGCCTGAGGTGTCTCTCCTCCTCTGATAGCTGTCCCTCTGCCGTTGCAGGAAAGGGAGCAAATGCAGCGATACAACCAGCGCATGTTAGAGCAGCTGAAAATTCGGCAGCAGCAGGAGAAAGCCCGGCTTCCCAAAATCCAGCGGAGCGAAGGGAAGACGCGCATGGCCATGTACAAGAAGAGCCTTCACATCCACTCCAGCGGGAGCGCATCTGAGCAGCGGGAGAAGATAAAACAGGTCAGGTCCTACAAAGGACAGCAAGGCTGAGGCTTGGCTTGGGGGTGAAGTACTTTGCTGGCCTACTGGCAGAAGGGAAGTCGGAAAAAGGCAACTGTTCCCAAATTTCTAACCCACTGCAGGGAGTCAGAGGTCTTTGTGTGATTTTCAGCGCTGCTTCCATCATGACTAGTGTTGGGAAGCATCCTTGGGGCATTTCTTTCTTTCCTATATAATAGTGCAAGCTGGCCAGTCTCTTAACCGGCTTCAGAGATCAAAGTGACGCTGCCTACATGGGCACCTGCTTTTCTCTCTTCCAGTTTGCTCAGCAGGAAGAGAAGAGGCAAAAAGCAGAGCGGCTACACCAGCAACAGAAGCATGAGACGCAGATGAAGGACATGCAGGCCCAGTGCGAGAGCAACACAAACGAGCTCCAGCAGCTGCAGGTACCCGTCCCTCGTGGCTCAGCCTCTTGGAGCTGCCTGTGCACTGTTTCTGCTCTAGCACAAGGGGCATGTCGTAAGAAGTGGCTGCAGAGGACTGTCAGTGAACTAGAACTGATGACCCCTGCTCTGCCTTGAGAGGTTTTTGTGGCCATGTCTAAACATGCCCTGGAGCTCAGCTCTGCCTCTGGCCAATGCAAGTCCTGTTCGACCACAGGATTTACAGTCCCAGCTGCTTGATGGGTGTTCTGTTTTGTGATCTGTGTTTAGAATGAGAAGTGTCACCTCTTGATTGAGCACGAAACCCAGAAGCTTAAGTCCCTGGATGAGAACCACAACCAGCACATGAAGGAGTGGCGGGACAAGCTGAGGCCACGGAAGAAGGTAGTGCCGCCTCGGCGCGAGCAGGGTGTCCTGCTTGGCTGGTTGGAGGGGACAGTGTCCGTAGCTCCAGTACAATCTCAAATACATCTCTTCTGTGTGTGTTCCCTTCTGCTTAAGGCCCTGGAGGACGAGCTGAACCAGAAGAAGCGTGAGCAGGAGATGTTCTTCAAGCTGAGCGAGGAGGCAGATGGACAGACACCAGCATCCCCAACCAAACATGCCAAGTTCGTCCCGTTCAGCTCCACAGAGAGCTCGTAACGCCTCACAGCTGGCAGGCCACCAGCTGGTACTTGCTGTGTCCTCCTGGGCTGCAGGCGGGCAACTTGGACTTGGAAGACCCTCTTAGCAGCCTCTTCTTACAACAGCACCCTCCTGTCCCCTCGCTCTGTCTGGGATAAACATGGCCTCTGTCCTGCACTGGGGGATGCTGACTGGAAGTTTGGTGGCTTTTCCAGGGGCTGGCCTGCTCAGCACAGCTCCACGCTGGGAAGCCGGGCAGGACCCTTTCTGCGATCATACTTGCACTGTTAGCTGGATGCGTTGCCTCTCACGTGAGCCTGGTGCTCACTGGGCTTGTCATCTCAGACTGAAGCAATAACGGCTCTGAACAGGAGAAACGGGCGGTGGCTCCTGGCCTCTGTGCAGTAGTTATCAGCCTCTCTCTCCACTGTGGCTGCTCCTCCTCCCGGTAAAGACTAGTCTGGGGCAGAGCAGCTTTGGTGTTGTCTTAGGCTAACCTTGGCCTTGTGGCCCCCCCAACACTTGCCTTAGATTTATTTCTATCTACTGTGGCCCTCTTTTGCTCAAGGGAGACAGTGACTTGGATTTTTTTTTGCCCTGAAGAAAGAAGGGTGGGTTTTTTCTTTCCTGTTTCTCATACAGACTATGCAGAAAGGGGACTGGCTGGACGTCCTTCCAAAGATGCTTCTGCTTCTTCATTTGGCGTGATTGCTGGCACCACAGTCCCTCGGCACCTAGCTAACACTGTCTTATCAGAAACTGGACTATGGCATAATTAAACTGTTCAGCTGGCTGCAGGCTTTTGTCTCAAAGAAGTGTGTGTGTATGGGCAGAGGGGGAGGTTTGTAACAGTGCTCAGTCCTGTGGTGAAACAGTGAGGTATTGGTCACACTCATGTGCCTTCTGGTCAGGACAAGTGAGGGGCAGAAGGGTGTTATTGCCAGAACCCTCATGATCACACATGTGCTTGCGATTTTTTTTTTAAGTGCTGTATATGTGTTGGCCATGTGGGTCAGCCAACCTGGCCACTCTGCAGTCAGGGTTCAGGGCTGCAAAGCGTCATTTGGAAGGAATAAAGGAGTCTTGAAACAAGGGATGCAAGGGAAGAGGAGATGCAAAGGCAGGTCACAGTGGCTTGTTACTCTCAGCATCACTTTCTCCACTGCTGTCTCATCTCCTTATGATGTGCCACAGTTTCTTGGATGATTTTCCTGGCTTTCAGCTTAGAGTCATGCTGCAGAGTGGCAGAGCAGTGGCAGGTCCAGCCCTCTGTCCTTTCTGCTCCATGGTGATGTGTCTTGGTTGGGCTGCCTTCTTCCACCTGCACAAGGCACTGCTTGGCTGAGCTGCTGGGTAGGACCCAGAGCACAGACCTGGGTAGGGGGACAGAGACCTCACTGGGCAGCACCTTCTTCTTTACACAACCAAAAGGTGTAAGGTAGCACTTAAGGTTTTTCTCTCTGTTGATCTCTGGACAACATTGTTTGGTTTAGGCCTGCTTCCAGAGCAAGAAAAAATGTCTCTACTTAAAAAAATGTTATTTTAAAGTCTCAGGTGTTGATTTAGAGACATACTGGCATTTCAGGAAAAGGTGGTATGTGATGTGCTACACTTCCAGGTACCTAGGTGAGGGAGCCAACCCCCAGGTCATTAACACCTCTTTCATCTGAGGAGGGCATTTACATTTACTACCCATTTAGAGTTCATAATACATATTTATAAGCTTCCTCCAAACTAGCAAGACTACATCTATTTGGGCCATTCCAAGTTTCTTCTGAATTCACACCATTGATGTCTTTATTAATGAATATAGCCTAGATGGAGATCTTAAGGGCTGGGACCCTTTGCAAGCAGACTGCATAGCAGCTTTTTAGTAACTGGCCTGTCCTCCTAGGAAGACCATCTGTCCCATCTCCAAAAGTATTGACTATGCCTTTCAGATACGATAGCACCAGGTTGGGAGCTGATGTAAAATTAATGAATGCAGGGGGTTGTTCCTGAACAATGTGCTGGTTTGAGACTTTAAATTGCATTAGAAATGTGTGCTGGCAGCCCCAGCAGTTTTGCTCCTGGTCCCATTGGGGTCAGGCTGGAGCTAGTCTATGAAATGGTTGTTGTCACAGAAACCAGTACCTGGTGCCTGTCCTTTCACGTGTTATGTGTGACTTGCAGAAGGATGTCCTGCAGCATACTGTTCATAACATACCTCCTCCAGCTGAAGGGCATTGCCGCTTCTGACTGCTGCCTTGCACCAGCCCAGGGAGCGCCAGCTCTCTCTGGATGTTGTGCAGCCATGAGGAAGGAGACTGTTTCTGGAGACTTTAAGAGCTGATGTGATGCCCTTACGGTAAATCGGTTGTCCCTTTCTCCAGTCCAGCTTATTTGCAGTCTGGAGCTAGCAACGTAATTTTGCTTTTGCTAACAGAGGGTGGGAATGGTTTTGTCCCCTGCCCTTTCCCTATTCTCTGTTCCCTCTCTGGGTGTGCCAGGGCTCTAGTACCATGTCCCTCTCCTAGAAGAGGGCAGGGGAGCACATCTTCTGATTGCCATGTTTACAGGGTGGTTATATTCCCCCCCCCCCCCTTTCAAAAGAGGATGTTTTTATTGTTTCCTGTTCAGAAGGAACCGTGAATAAACCCCGCTTGTTTTTGAGGGGGGATGGGATGCCATTTTTTTTAAAATGTGGCTTTGAATAAAAAGTGTTTTTTAATATTTTGTAAAGTGTCCTCAGTGGGGCGACCACTGTGATGTAAAGGCCCTTCTAATAAAGTAACAGACTGAGAAACCTGGGCATGTGTCTGATTTCCTGCCTGATCACCGGCTGTGGCCTCAGACCAGCTTTGCTTCTAGTGTAGGCTTTGCTGACTTACAGAAACCCCCAGAGCCAGTTCTGGCATGTGAACCTTGCAAGGCTGAACTTCCAGTTCTTTAAAATAGAGCTAGTTCCTTCAGAAGCACTTCTGCTGCATGCTGCAGCTCAGCGGCAATAACATCTTTGCTAAGACAGTGAAACTCTGGTAAACTGAAGTGCAGCAGCAGTTGTCTCAATGGCTTCGTTGTGTGTTAAAATAGTGCTCGGCTGACCCTGCTTGGTGAAGAGGGAGTATTGCATCCTGTTGTCTGAAGGGTGAAAACCATGGATGCGTGGCTTTTTCTTCCTTTTTTATTAGCTTGTCTGGCCGTGACAGAAGATACCGGACAAATGCCTCAGCTCCCTTGCTTTTTGGGACAAGGAGGTCCTAGGGATGCCCCCCGTCTCCTCCCCACTCTGCCCTCAGCTGAGGAGCGCTTGGATCCTGGAAATGCATTACAAGGCCAATATGCAGATCACATCTTCCCCTATCAGTGCAGCGGGAGACCTCTGCTTGCTCCCCTGGGCTGCTCAGGAAAGCTCCCACCACGTCTGTAACCAACCACAGGGCCTGTGTGGTCTTAATTTTGTGCTTGGAGATTTTTACCTGCTGATTTAGTTATGATTTCTTTCATCCAGATGCCCTACACCAAGCAAGGACACACAGTGTGCAAGGGCAGCTTTGACACTAGCCCAGGGAGTTGGTAGGGTTTTCTCCTTGTTTTTTGGAAGGTTGCTCCGGAGCCTGCCAACTTATACCTTGGGTTTCATGTGGGAGATTATCTTGCTACCTGTGTCTACCCTGGTTGGGTAGTATCGCAGGCTGTGAGTTCAGATGTGAGGTGGTGAAAGGGAGAGGGAGTTGTTACTGTAAGGTGGTGGTGGTGGTGGTGGTGTTTACATGGGCAGCCCTGTGGTAAGAGAAGGACAAGAGCAAAGCATGAGGGTGCCCATCTCCTTGCCCCATGAGAATAGTAAGAAATGAAGTAGCTGAGGACACATAATTAGCCATTTCCTTCGTTTGCATTTACCAGGACTGCACTGTCCTCTGAGACATGCTGGTCAAAAATGGCCTCACTCAATGTATCCCAGTGAAGCAGAAGATCTCATGGGAGTATTTAACTTCATCTGCATGTCCTTGGCAGTGCCTGAGGGAAGCTTCAACCGTGAGGCTACTTATATTTATAAATATGTTGAAAGTACTGTGTATTCCAGAAATAACCATTATCTACTATTCTGCCCTAGTGCAATGCTGAAAACAGAGCAAAAGTAAAAAACTTTTTTAATTTTTAAAAATTGAGATGACAGCCCTGAAAAGTTACTGGTGCTGCAGCAGCTGTAGCATTCTCAGCTCCCTGCATTGCCTCCTCTGCACTTTCCTGTCATGTCTGGGCTCCAAGGTCCTCTGAGCTGCCCAAAGGATTTTGCAGCATTCCTGCTATGATTGGGATGATGAAACTCTCTGGGGGAAGAAAAAGGAGGGCAGGCAGGGAGAATCATGGAGTTGGGGCTTGTGCCTAACTGCCTTCCTCCTGTGGCTGCATCTACTCTCCTTCCCTTGCTGCAGGAGGACAGCTGGAGGTGAGCACTGCCCTAGGCACTTCCTTCAAAAGTCATCTGCACCCTGTTAAGTCAAATGCTGTTGCATGTTCTCCTGCTGCATTGGCCGCTGGTTTGATTCTCCAAATGCCAAACTACCCAGGGCTCGAACAAGCCAAGCCTCTCCAGAGGCTGGTGGCTCTGCCTCGCTGATGGGGTTTGTTGTTGCCCATCTCCTGGGTGGGATGGGGCTGGGTCGTTAGTACATGTCACCCTAGCACCCCACCTGCCCTCACAAACACCCACTGGGACTCCCCTGGGCCTGGTTTCCAGGCTTGCAAGGGTAGCAGGGGTGATGTTTGCGCTTCTTTCTCTTGTTCACTAGATGGCACACACACTGAAACAGCGGCTCCGGAGCTCTGCTGCTGCCTGCACAAGCACAGAGCTGGAGCTGAGCTGTCCCCTTGCGCTGAAATGTTTGCTCACTCTTTTTCCTGGATTCGTCATTCGCTATGGCACACCTTTCACTGGATCTCTGCTTCTCATCGGTGCTTCAGTATTTTGTTTCTCACTCTAGTGTTGTCCTCAGGAGTTTTCCAGGGTTCCCCTGCCCACCGGCACCTGCGTGCCAGAACAGCCTCCCCCTTTTTGAGGGCTGAGCATCCCCTCCACAGGGTCTGCTTCTCCCTGCTGCCATACCTCCATGCAGGATGGGTGCAATCCGCTGCCAGGCTGACTGTGATGGGTGTCATCCACACCACACAGCTAAAACCAACAATACTGGGGTCAAAGCAATGGAAAATCATTCCTGGTGGTGGCTAAGAATCAGTGCAATCCAGCCCTGGTGATACAGTGGGTAACCACTGCTCTGCTGGGCTTCAGCTGGAAAGATTTGCCCTCTGTTGTGGTAGGAGCATCATTTTTGTCTAATCTTTGTGAGGGAGCTCAGGGAAGACAGATGCATTTGTTCTGTACACAGGGGAGGACCGGGAACATTTAGCTACCTGGCACACACTCATAATTCTTAAATTAAAAAAGCAAGCAGAAGTAGTGGCCTCTCCATGCCAGAAGGACTGCAGGTACTGTTTCCTCTGCAGCTCAGGGCTCATGGTGGGGCACTGCTTTCTCATTCTATTGCATCCCTGACACCTGACAGACCTCAGGGACGGCCCAGCTGTGCCCGAACAGCTGGAGCCTGCTTACAGCCAAGCGGAAACCCATTTGCACATCCAAGCTGATGGCTGGCTTTTCAGAAGTCATTCATCCTCTTGATTTAAATTGCTCGGCTGATCCTGACAGAGAGAAGGGAGAGTGCACATGGGTCAAGGAGATCTTGACTCTTCAGTAGGTGTTGAGCTCTCCCATGTAGTTATTTTGTTTGGATTAACAACACTCCAACCTTTGGTTAGGGCAGCAGGAGACTACTTTGTCCCAAAACTGCCCTCAGTTGCACCTGTACCCTTGTACCACCTAAACTCATTGTGGGAAGTGCTGCTGCCAGATCTCTGCTGCTTCTGCAGCCACACCACCAGAGGTGTGGGCCAAGCACAGGACTCCCAGGTCAATCACAAAACCCTCATTTGGGCTCCCTTAGCAAATGCTTGGCAGTTTCCTTGATAAATTACTGAGGTGCAGTAGAGTCCAAGCCAGGCTGTATGTCTTTACGGCTGGCTTCCCAGCATGCCTCCCTTGGGAGGCAATCAGGTCAGCATGCAAAGCCGCGCTCCGCTCATCTCAACAGCTCTCATCAGATCTGTTAATTAAACACAGGAGCCATTTTGCAGCATTAGCTGTGATTGTCTCCATCCTCTGCTTGTTCCTGGGCAGTTGGAAGCAGTCGGGCTGCAGTTGATGCCTGGTGCTGTCCGGGGCCAGGAGCGATGGAGTCACTTCAGCCCCCTCTAAGCAGGTTACGGTGCTGGGGAAGCGATGCCGATGCTTGAGTTCTTCTGACTGATTTGGTGCAGTCGCTTGGCTCCCTGCCAGTGTTCATAGGCCTGGAGTGGGTTTACGCTGGAAGACATGGATAAAATACCCCTGTGTGTAGCAAGCTGGCTGTCTTATACAATGATTTATACCAGATATAAAGGAATGGCCCGACAGCCCAGCAGCGTGCACCATGGAGCCGCATCCAGGGTGGTACACAGAAAGGACCTTGGAAGGGTGAAGGCAGGAAACCAGGGTCTGGTCCCTGGAGCAGGTAGGTCCAAAATGCTATGAGAGCTCATTCATATGTTCTCCTTTTGCTTTCTATGTCACACATCTCTGTGTGGGGACGTTGTGGCACAGGGAAATGGATTTATCAGCAAGGGAATACCCAAAGGTTTCGTGCACCCCTGAGAAGAGGAGGTGGGCACAAAGCTTCCCCAAGCCAAGCACCATCTGTGTCCCTCTGGGCTGCTTCAAGCTCAGGAGTGAGGTGTCACCATGTGGTGTTCATTCTGTTTCTTGTGGGTTCCCAACTGTGGCGGTGGAGCCAGGATTAAAGGAAAGGGGGAGGCCAGCATGAAGGCTGCAGATGAAGGTGCACAGCAGTACGGTGCTTGACAGTGGCTGGGCATGGCCTTGTGGAGGGGGACGGCAGGGAACAGGCACTGTGGTTGTAAAAACGGGCAGAACTTGTCATCCCCCCCCCAAATCCGCCATCTGCCTCCATGCTAAAGTGACAGTCTGGAGACAGGATTTCTGTCCCCTCGAGTCTGTGGCCAGTATGAGATGACATAAACATGAGTAGGGATGAGGCTCCTTTTGGAGCCATCTCATAGACTTCCCTGCTTGTTCTCACACTTTGCTTCTGCTGCTGGTCCTTACTGTGCTGGCCATCAGGACAGCTCTTCCACCCTGCTGGCATGCTGTGCAGGGTCCTGTGTGCTGGGGGTGTTGCAGCTGGTGGCACCTGGGACTCCTGCTGTTCATCGGCTGCTTGCCCAGCACGCCCACTGTCCTACACCATCTCTCTGTGCTGCAGCTATCACTGCTTCTAAAGCTAGACCAAACAAATCTGGCAAGAAAACACAGTTTAGCCTCTTCATAGCTACTGCACCTATAGGTCAAAATGCTCTCTGAATTCCACGTTCTCGATGTGCTCTTCCCAGATGGCTTTTTCAATTTTTTTTTTTCCCCACAGACTGATCCTAGGGTTCATGGGTAGTGAGTCCTGTCTGGATGGTGGACTGACTTAATGTAAACAGAGAGAGGGACCAGCAAGCAAGATGATCAATCTGGCTATGTTGTTTTCAGTGCACGAGGGACGTAGGGTCAGTCTGTGCACTCCTGTAAAACCAAATTACCAGGCTGTTTCAGACCAGCTCTGCATACTCCCCGCAGACTGATCCTAGGGTTCATGGGTAGTGAGTCCAAGGTGTCTGGATGGTGGACTTCATGTT